TATTGCTGGTGAATTATCTGTCTTTCGCAGGTACACGAAACCATTCTTCGCCCAGCAATATTTAATAGATAATTACCGAGGCCAACGGCATTATTCGATATATTGCAGCGTGCATCAGTGCACATTAAAAATAATGCAGCGTGCATCAGTGCACACAGACATTATTCGCAATCCTTCGTCATCCTGACAAGTACACGCGATAACGTGAACATCTCAAGATGAGGTGACAGTGCTAAAGGCCCCTCATACAATATCATCGGGCGCCTGAAGCACTGCCAAAACAGTCACTGTGAGTCCTTTCAGCTCAACTTTATAGAGAAATAGTTTGCGCTTGTGGGATTTTATCCTAGATATACGCATGTGCAGAACACACCATAAGTTCTATTCCCGTGTTTATCCAGTTTAAAGCCCCATTTACATGAGCAAATTTTATTTGACAAATTTCATATGTCAAAGACATTTTGCTCGTGTGGATGATGCTTTTGTGACAAATTTATTGTGACAAATGCATTTGAACAAAAGCTAGCATGCTAGCTTTTGATCAAATGCATTTGTCATATGAAATTTGTCAAATAAAATTTGCTCGTGTAAATGGGGCTTAATACGCTCTTTGAATTAACCTTATCATTAATGATAATATGTAAACTAGAACACAATAATTGACCTCCGCTTGTGGAGATTTTAATTTAGGGCCATTAATTAAACTGAAATCTGTTCTATCACGATGCATTACATGCATGTCCTCACAAATGTCTAGTGTAACGTTGGATAGATTCATTGTCATACGCATCTGATGCTCGATATATGCAATGGCAAAAGAGGCTATGTTACTGTGACCAGTCACACGGGGTCACATGGTCACACTAAATCTTATGCAATAATTAGACATGCCATACGATACCAATGCACGATACTGACGATAGTTGCAAACAACAAGGGTATTCCTGCATGTTTGGTGTAAAGTCTCAAGTCTAGTCATCAGTATTAGTTGTTATAAGATATATGTATAAATTAAAACAAAATTCGAGCAAATTCACAATAAAATTCTGCTCGAGAAAATACACGTCCGCTCAGCTCGAGTGATGTAAAATTTAGGTTTAACTGATTTTGGCATAACATGAAGATGAAATTTATTGGACACAATGACAATGCTCTCCTGAAAATTGCAATGTGCTACTTTTGTGCTGAAAGTATGTTACCATGGCAACAGCGTGCTTAGGATAAGGCTCAAAATTTGTCTTTTTTCGGCCATTTTAAAAATCCCTTAGGGAAATTTTTTTGAGTTTTTCGACTATTGTACACGTCAGTCTACAGGAACGTAGCAAAGCATCTGAAGTTGGGGGGAGGTTGTCGGAGGATTTTACCTGAAATGTGAATTTTTAATAAATATTTACCTAAAGTGTAATAATCATAATAAAGCTTTTTGTGATTGACCTAAATTTCTCCCTTTTCCTTCGGTAAATTGTTTTAAAACTTTGCACATTTCTTAATATCGGCTAAACAAGCTGAATATCCTTTTTTCTTAAAATTTTATTGAAGGGAATAATCTAAGAAACGTTCCATAGAATTTTTTTAAATTGACGAAAAAAATCGTTATACGAGAAAGATCTTTTATGCAAATTTTTAAATTTTTAAAACGGCCGGAAAAAGACAAATTTTGAGCTCAAATTTTAATGCTCTATTCTATCTCATCTAGTTCCGAAGTTATACGCAAAAATGTGCAAAATATAAGTTGCTGATTCAGCACGACGTGTGACGTCATTAGTTGGGTAAGTATGTTTAATGAATACTAAACTGAAGCATAGCTCAGTTATTATGGGCCCAAATCAAATGAAATTTTGCATATTGATTGTACATGGTGAGACGCATTGAAAAACACTTCTAATTTTGTTGCCAAGGTAACAATGTCGTTCCCAGGCCCCTTGCGCCAATTTTATAAAACAGCTTTATTCATGGTACTGATAAGGATAAAATAATATCAGAAGTATGTGTACCATACCTATGCATGCCAAAAGTTTACTTGCATGATAATAATTCGAAAATGACATACACATAGATAAATGCAACTAGTTATTCAAAATCAGTGTAAGGGGCCTGGGAACGACTGTGTTGCCTTGACAGCAAAATTAGAAGTATTTTCCCATGCGTCTCATCATGTACTATCTGTATGCAAAATTTCATTTGATTTGAGCTAATAATAACTGAGCTATGCTTCAGTTTACTATTCAATAAACATACTTACCCAACTAATGACGTCACACGTTGTGCTGAATCAGCAATGAATAGAGCATTAAACGGCCAATCGGCTTATTTTTCATGCTCTTTCAGATGAAGCAATAACATTTTTGTTGCTCATACCCTTTAATGTAAAGGTTTTAATTGAAATAGGTTTACACTTAGAGTCTTAGTTAAGGTTTATGAATGAACCGTTTAAGGTAAATAGTTAGCATAGCTGTTGTACCATTTTAGTCTATCTTTCTTTAATCGGTACTTTTAAAATAATATAATTATGCATGGTATTTTCTTCCTGCATGCACTAAGTTCCGTGTAAAATTGCGCAATTATGATCATTGCAACCAAACCCCAGCAAACTTTACGAACGTTGACGTTGTTTGGAGTGTTAGAAACGGGAAGGAAGTTTTGCATATCCATGCATGTGGCGTTTCTCTGAGACATTCTATTTTAATGTGGAAAGTCTATATCGCAGCCGTTTTGGCGTCTAATTGTTTTTTGTGGGCGTAATCATCGAGATTTGACGTACATCACATCAAGTTGAGGCAAAACAGGTGATTCGAATAACAACTCCAGTTTAGTAAGGTGAATATGCAGCCTCTTCATGCAGATTTGTCTTGATTACGTTAACAATACATGCAGTGTTAGGTTTTTACTATATGTGTTGTAGTAACATGTTTTTGTGTTGAAGTGTTGGGGTTGTACTATGAAAACTGAATTGGCAGAACAACAGTCTACAGTCTGTGACAATACATTTGATAGTTCATAATGGGTTATAATAATTATTAATAACGCCAATACGTCTTCCTGAATTTGAATATACAGTTGCATGGTTGAGTCAACTTTATGTTAACAATACTGTGTAGGGTTTTAACTATATGATAATGAATTTTATCAATATTACCCGGCATCTTGTTAGAAGGATCTTTAGGTAACGCCCACACTCGAACGAACGAATCGTCACTAACTGATGCAAGAAACATACTATTAAAATATACTCAAATTTTCATCTTATCTGGGAAACGCTCCAGAGCTATACAATAAACTTTCCGTGAGTTTGTATGTGTGGGCAAGAAAGAATTATGGTACAAGGTTGAGGCACTCGAATTCCTATAGGATCAGCCGATTAGGTTCAATATAGTATTAAATTTTTGCCGTATGTGGTTTTGTTAGGGGTATAGAGACGATAACAAACTGCTGCGGTGTGAAGGATACACAACTTCCTAATGAGTAATGGCTAGGCAGTTGTGTCGTTTTGGACACAATACATAAATCTTTATTCACTGCATGTGGATTCGTTGTCGACCCTTGAAGGTCATTGTGGACTCATATATGTAGTAGTACGTTGTAGGCTCGCCGTTTCAAGCTACGTTTACACGCTGCGATTTGTCGGGCCGATTTTGGCAAATAATTGTTGCCCCTTCTTCGACATTTATCGATTTAAACGTTCAATTGAAGCTATCCGCTCTCTCGTCTGCTTATATTATAGTTTTCCGTGTGCGAAAGGTTTTCAACAACTTTACAACAGAAGAAAAATCGTTGAATCGTGAGAAAAATCTGTGTTTTGCTACAGATTTTTCTCTCGATTTTGTGAATCGCAAGGCGCTGACGCGAGACTCACGACAGGTTATTTACATACAGCGAACAAAATCGGCCCGACAAATCGCAGCGTGTAAACGTACCTTCACAGGGACAGCGGAGCTAGTGGAGGGTGTCATATATGCACCCAGAACTTTTTCACCGAGTAAAAGAAAAAGTCAATTGGCTTCCTAACACATTCGGCGGTCATAATATATTGTAGAATCATTTTATGTAAATAGTTGTGGACCATTCAAAGTGGTGAATAATAATATCTTTCCATCTTAAAATATTGGATGTTGATGCATATTTCGGGGTACTTCAAAATTTTCACCCAGTACGCCGCTTTAATTTTGTGGTCAAGATTTTGTTCAAATGCAAAATAATAATAATAAGAAAACAGCAAAAGATGGCTTACAACCAATCACAATTTTGCATGCATGCATGCATGCAAGCAAGGAATTTTGTTTGTCAAATTCGTCCAAAAATGGTGATGATGACGTAAGGTGAATAAACAAGGTTAACCAGGGCTGTTTGGCAAATATATTCATAGTAATCAGTGAAAACTGAACACGTTATATCTGAGACAATGATTATTATTCATTCAAATTACTTAAATACAGCACATTTATTGACAGTAGCTATAGTACAGTATTGAAATACTCGTACGTATACTTGGAAATACTCGTATTTAATTTCACTAATGCATGTGCAGTGCATTCATTTACGTTATTTTCTCAGTTACTGTGTTTCTAAATGCACTAAACTACGTCATGAAAATTTAATCAAAAGTTAATTAAGATAAAATGTTTCAACTTCGTTCGGTGTGAAATTCCGAGTGCCAGCGAGAAGATTCCTGGTGTTGGTTGAGCTGTAGGAATACCCGCTTGGTGGTCGATAGGTATACCCAAGGTTTGCGTAGGAATTAGTATTTGTATTGGCATTATTTGCAATATAAATATCATGACCACCACCAAATGTGGGACCATAAGCAGACCTGGTGTATAAAGCATTTGCACTGTATCTGTAGACAGGTGATTTGAAGGGCGAGACGTTGTCTTTATTCACGAAGGAGAAGATAAATGCATTGGAACTACTTCTATAACCTGTCGAACCTAAAGTAAAATGAAAAGCAAAGAAAGTTGAAACCTGAAATACATTGAATGTCTAAACATTGAATGTCTAAACAAAATGTAACTTCTCACTCTTACACTTTTCATGCTGCGGACAACCACTGGTCAAAATTTGAGTTAGGAATAAAATTTAAAATTGGTAATATATTACCAATGGGGTGAATGTTAATTCAAGTTGGTTGTAACTTCGAGTAATTTTTACGGATCAAAATGTTTCGAGAAAAAAGCGAGATCGATAAAATTCTGTGTAGAAGTTTGATGCGTTATTTTCATTTTAAATTGCTTGAATTATACATGTTTTTATTTCAAAGATATACATAAAATAACGGTGATAAACTAACCTCCAAAAGCTACATCGCTGTATGCGCCAAAGATGTAGGATCGAGATCGGATGATGGTGACAGTCGGTTTCTTAGAATCACACCGAGAATGGAAGGTAGATGATGCCCAACCATGATCCGTAGCACGGTAACATAACTTCCACGACTTTGCGCCACCAAGCCATTTGTCCAACTGAACAATGTAGTTTTGCTGCTGATTCAAAATTTCTGAGCCAGCTAGACCGCCTGTAACGAATAATGCATGAACATCAATTGCCCTCAAGATTATATCAGAAAAAAATGATTAAAAACAAAACACTTAATTACTTTAACGAGACCTTTTTTTTTATACGATTTTAGTTTTTTTATTTATAATATATTTTTATTTCGGAATAGAACATTTCCGGATTTTCATGAATGTAACTTATTGGCTATATAATTTATACATGCAGTAGGGTCATGTCAGTCTTGAAATCTAGTTGTTTCTTGTGCACTCAAACTGCAAATTCTGGAAATGTATAACTTTTGACTGAATGAAACGACAAAGGAGCATCTCGATCATTGGATAATGACTGCATGGAATATTCAGTATTGCTATTGGGGAGCGACGTTTTTGTCAACACGGACCTCAGATTTCTAAGCGGAGGATGCTTGTGTGTCAGATTGTGGTAATCTTCAACACATGTGACAAAACATAAGATTTTAAATTGTTTTACTTTCGCACGATCGCTACGAGGCACAATGCCGCCAAAATTAATTAAACTAATTTTCGAGTGACTTCCGCGCTAACAAAAACGTTGCTTGCTTAAGCTCACTATTGTTATTTCAAAAACCCCAATGAACAGCTTGCTGGAACACACCTCTCTTATCACAAAATGTTCCTCCAAATCCCGTCTTACACTTGCATGTGAATTTTCCTCCTTGTTTATTCACACAAACACCTTTGTTCTTGCAGGGTTTAATTTCACATGGTTGAACTAAATAAAAAACATAATTTCTAATTAATATTCAAAACAAGAGCGCACTAACTCAGGAGTATAGTTATCTGATTTATCTCTATATGAATGGACCATTTGCATTATAGACTAAATTTTGATCTAGACAAGTCTAGACAAAAAATTCATCACAGCTTGAAAGAGCATCACACAATTAGTAATATTCCAAAGTTTCGTTGCGAAATGTTGTAAAATGCGGATCATATATAGCCTTGCGAATTTTGCCGTTTTTCAGTCATTTTGTATTACGGCATCAATTTCCCGTTTGTAATACAAAATGACTGAAAATTGCAAACTTCGCAAGGCTATATTATCCGCATTTTACAACATTTCGCAACGAAACTTTGGAATATTACTAATTTTGTGATGCTCTTTCAAGTTGTGATGAAATTTTTGTCGAAATCAGAATTTAGTCTATAATGCAAAATTAATGGACCATTATACTATACAGCATACCATACACTATGATATAGTATATAGTAGGCCTACTGTGTAATTCCGAATTATATGACCTTTCAGGTATCGTCGGCATCGACATCTTGGCCTACACAACTAAAAACGATCAGGTTGTTGCAACATTGATGAAAACAGGATTGAACAATGTGTGCGGCACAAATGTGAACAATGTGGACCGCACAACATTGTTCAATCCTGTTAAACAGCAGGCCCGTAATTTTTACACGTGGCAATCGCAATACTTATTGAGATAAATTATACATGCTTTATTTGTTACTTTACCCAAAATAAAGTACTGTTTCGACAAATATGTGTAAACATTAAAGAAACTTTTAATTAATGATCACCAATAAAACTTCCTATACCAATCATGGTTCTTTAAAGCTGGAGGGTTTTTAAAACCGTGCATGGGTTACAGCTTTTAGCATTACAGTTTATGATATCCAACTAATATAACCGAGCATGTTAGTATGCTGGTACCATCTAAATACTAAGCCTGTATCTTACCAATTTTAGAACAGTCTGGTCCTTTGAAACCGGGGGGACATTCACATTGGAAACATTTTATTCCATCATCAGTACAATTTCCTCCATTTTTACAGGGTCCACTGTCACATGGTCGAACTGGAAGAAAAATATTCTGTTAGGGTTGTAAGCTTTGTCGTATAAAAACTTAAAGCTCTTACTTACCTCGATGCTCACACAAAATGCCATTGTATAAAGCTGTACAATTACATGTAAATGTTCCATCTCTGTTTTCTGAACATGACCCTCCATTTCTACAAGGATTTGCTTCACAAGGAGTCACTAGAGACAAGATGAACATAGTCACTCAATATTCAATACTATGATCCAATTGTCCACTGATTCTTAATTCGATAAGATTACGTCACTGTAAAGTGCACACCAGAGTTGCTGCTGTGCTCAGGTGCTACTTCTCTATGGGAGTGAATCGTGAGCCCAGACACGTAGCGAACGAGGGCGTGGCATCCATCCACAAAGAATGAACCTGTCGGCCAAAACAACATGCTCATTTTCCATCAGTTATACCTATTTCTTATCAAGTTTCGATAACAGCGATGACCGCACCCCAACTACAACAAAACCGCGCCCATTTTGTCGGCAAAAGCTATAGCTAGGCTTACATCCGCCCATCGTTGTCGGTCGAGGGGAGAAGGGGTTTTTCTTTACTGATTCGCCCATTTTTTAAGTGGAATTAACAATGTTGGTTCCGTTTCAACAGGAGGGGGGGAGGGTGGACACCTGCCCTCCGTGCCAGCACGCCATTGTGTATTTAAACTGTGGCAACTCAATACTCAAACATCATTAAACTCTCGTATCTTAAGCCTCTTACCTCTCAGACTGCAGTCATATCCCTTGAAGCCGGAGCTACAATGGCATTTTGGATAACGATCCCGGCCCACGATCACTCCATCATTTTGACACGATCGCGGTTGTGCTGTCGTCTGTGCTGTCGTCACAGCAATCAATCCTAAACAATAAAAGTCAAAATGTTATTAACGGATACCACTATAATATTGTGACGAAGGTCAGGCACGTTGCAAGTCAATCAAGTGCAATGAATCTAATATTAAAGATATATTTGAATCAGCACATGAAATGTTTGAGGTTTGAAGCTGGCCAAATTCATTTAAAGGCCAAACCTTTACCAGACCTTTACCAATCCAGGCAATTTTCAATCTTTAAAATAATTAATGCAACCATGCAATAGCCAACTGAAGGATAGGAGGATAGCATTATATAGCACTGTTATAGGTATTTACAGTGCAGGGAGCTACAAGTTTAGGCAGCAGTTCAACAAATTTTAGTTGACAATTTATATATAAAACTAAGGGGCCGGCTGACACTATAAACTTATTGTAATGCAGAAGAGTTCTTTCTGGGAACACTGCAGATGACCTATGCCGGACTTGTATAAATTGATTGACAATTTACCTGCTAGAATTAGAGTGGTTGTTAAAACAAAGCGGTTAAACATCTTTCTGTGAAAAAAACACACATAAACCCCATAATGAAAAATTAACAAAGCTTCTTAACATATATCAAGTTGGGTTTGGCTGTCGCCTGGTGCAATAGAAAATTCCGTCTTTCGACTCAACAAAGTAGACAAACCTATTAAATTGCAGTACATTATCGCAAAAACTGAGTAAACCATAAAAAAGCTTAGGTAATGTTTAGAAAGGTAATTTAGAAACAAACATGCATGATTTCTTCACGATGTAAATTCTTACTATATAATAGGCCTACTTATATATTTGTCCAACATGGCAGTAACTTTGACACTTACTGTTTTGTACGAAGTCCTCACTCTGTGCTCTCTGATCTTCAAATACACAGTTGACTCAAGAGTCTTGTATTTATAAGCATATATTGACCGGAAAAAGTCGTTTCAGGTCGGTACTACAAGATGATGCAGTGGGCACAACATCCAACAGTGAGTAACAATGCAGTCTGATAATGATTGGTGAAAACAAAGATTTGCTTTTGAAAAGCGCGGATAAATAATTAGTTCATTGATAATGTGGGTTATGTGGCGTTTCCGAGAGCCATTCTATATTCTAAGTGGAATTTAAAGTGTCTATATATAGCAGCACTGTGGCAATCTCGTTCCCAGAGTATGCCTGTTCGCGGGTTAGGTTGTGGCATGACTCTGGGGAAATCAAATCGAAATCGTTATTTGATTGGCTGCCGTGATCATCAATGCTGCCGACACAATTAATGCGTGTTTTTTACGAGAATTACGCGTGGACATACGCGAAGAGAGAATTATCAATGTTTATCAGATTTGGAATGCGAAATCAAACAATATAAATATAAGGATATATTATATTAATCGTATAAAAAAGTATTGGGACGTTGGGTATATACTTACAAAATGGCATGGTATTTATGAATGACTTTTTATCGATCTACAGTATGAGTATATTTATTATAACCATGGAAGAATTGGCTAAATGCCAGTGTGGAAAGTTTGTATCGCCATCGCACACGTTGTTTTGACAAATTGTTGCCAGGACTTTGGAGTGACAGCTTTTGCTTGTGTTAAAAACTTGAAGCTTTAAACAATATAGTACATTATAGTCAACACTCAACATGTTGTAGCCTGTGGTCTTTGTGCTTTTGTAAATGGAGTTATCTATATAAATTTAAGATGCCAGGTGTTTTTGTAGCATCTATATAAATTATAGAATAATTGATTTAAGAAGTTCCTCAGGTTGTAAAACATTTGGTTATAGACTTGCTTTGTAAGTGATTGCCACTTGACAGCATGATGGGCTATTCCTTTTAATATCCGTACACCCCCTGTCGAGGATACATGTTTTTCATGGTTATACCCCTGAAGAATTTCAAACTCAAAACCTTTTACCCCTGAAGAATTCCAAAATTCCAAGCTCAAAACCCTTTACCCCTGAAGAATTCCAGGGATCCTCGACAGAGGGGTACGGATATTAAATGGAATAGCCCGAGCCCCGATGTAAGGCTATAACTAAGCCAAACCTGAAACAATTTTTGCATCAATTTGTGTCTGGATAAAAAATAAGTAGTGAATTTAAATACAGATGTTTCCTTGTTTGTTGCTATGTGAAACAATGTTGTTTGATCAATAACAATGCTCATTTGCTAAAAATATACAAGTATTGATTCCATTTCCAAACTATTATACTATGTGAATATATTGGCAATTAATTCAATTCTATATAAAAGGAGATACAGTAGAATTGAAATAGCTACCAGTTAACCAGTTTCAATCAAATAACTACTTTAATTTCTGTATCAAGCCTCCTGGGTACTATTGTTTCCTAAGCATCATTGAGGGGGCACTTGTTCTTAATATATGCAAAAAGTCTGGTTACCATTAAAAAATGTCCATATTCAGAGTTACAATTGTACTAACTTAAATATAGAAATTACAGTACCTCCATTCCTTCCTCTCCCTTCCCAAACATGCTCCAGGAGAGGGGGCAACTGCATGGGTTAAAGCATGGATTGCAAGGTTGATATATTGCATGTTATGTACCTGGTAATATGGAGAAATGAGCTAGTAAATATATTCTTGCCTATAATTAGTTGCTGATTAAATGTTCAAAGATACACAGTGTGAAGCATGAAAAGCAAAAGGAAGATACCCACTGCAAGAATTTTTCAACAAATATATATGGATTTGTTCACTTCATTTCTTACTTTTGACACAAGTAATTATAGTAATTATAATTACAAACACAATGTACTGTCATTTAAAGACTTTATATGTGGTCCATGTATATATGTTGTAATATAATATAAAAAATAATATAGTATAAAAAGTAATATAATATAAAAAATATGTGATATATAATATCGTAAACCTCTGACTATAAGCCCTGGGCTTATATTGTTTTGAAGCGATTTTTCATGGGCTTGGGGGGGGGGGGCTATATGCATGGGGGCCTTATACATGGACAATCAATTGTGTTAGTAATAAACAAGTCAGTCACTCATGAACAGGAAAATAAACATGTATTAATAACACACTTCCATTAACATAGTAAGCTATAAAGACAATGACAGTGTTTCAAATATCGTTCTCTGCTATATTTAAAGACAATGTCAATGTTAAATAACATAGTGGGATACCGGGCTTGTATTCAGGGGGCTTATATTCAGGGGGGGGGCTTATACTTGGGGGGGGGGTTATATTTGGAATGAGGTGAGCATTATATTCAGAGGTTTACAGTTGAAAAAAGCTTGTATTTTCTTGTCATAGACACACATTTCTGGGTGCATATAGAACAGCTTAAACGTCAGGTTCTCATGTCGATCCAATGGTCATTTGACATCGCTGCCATCACCATATATAGTGTAGCACAGAATGCTACTAACTCTTGACGAAGGGCCTTCGCTCGAAACGTTGAGTTTCTGCTTATTTTTTAAGGTAGTAATATAACCACTCAGCACAGCATTTCTACATTGGTACTACCTACATTGGTACAGACAGTTTTAGCACAGAATAGCCTTGTACGTATCATACTTTGACATACTATCATGCATGCAGAAATGCCTTGCAGCCTTGGTCATTCATGTGGAGATATGACTATCACGATAGAATTAGTTAATACGCCAAGTAACATGTCGTACACGTCAGGTAGCAGCTGAAATATTTTAATATTTGCCATAATATGCCCATAACCTGTTGGCAAAACAACCAAAACATCTTCATCCTTTTACAATGGCCGAGATACATAAAATTTTGAATGTCTCGTCTTTTAACGAATATTCAAGCCCTCTTTTCGCTAGAACAGCTTTCATAGCTCTTTCAGTATTTGCCATTGAATATAATTTAATAGTAGTACGATTTAAAACACCTTTAAACGTATAAAAAACCTTTTTGTACACTATATTCTGATGAGAATCTTTGTTTAAAACAATATCGATTGTGAGCGTGTGCCCGCGCGAATTTAGTAAGCGGAATGAACCAAAGCAATAAAAGCGCATGCGCCATTTATCTCATTTTGGATAAAAAAATTCGATTTCCCCAGAGTCATGCCACAACCTAACCCGCGAACAGGCATACTCTGGGAACGAGATTGGTCATGGTGTAGCTATAGACAATTGAGAGCGTCCACGTCCATATCACACTGCATGTTAATGGCCTCATCTTTTCAGTACAAAACCTAATTTCCCTCTAAAATTTTTTTGTGGAAATCCATATCTACAGTGTTACATATCTACTTAACTATATAACAACTTACCAATATTTGATTACAGGTTCCTGATGAGACAGAAGACGTCATCAGGAGAATGGAATTTCAGTGGAATTTTTATATTTTACAGGACCCTTTTTAATCATCATAAAATTTGATGTTATAATTACGTTTTACAGTAGTTGCATGCATCGTATAACATAGTAGATTGCAAATTTCGTTGCAATTTCACGTATTAAAATTTGTCATTCAGTTAATGTCTCTCCGTTCTGGTAAATATAGTTACAAATCCGGTGTCCCAGGATTTTCTCCCCCCCCCCGCCCCCAATTTCGCCCCCGGGGGCGAAATTCCTAGGAATATCGCCCCCCCGGGGGGAGAAAGTCCTAGGAATTTCGCCCCTTTAATCGCCCCCCCCCCCTCGTTAGAAACTTCACCTTTCTAACTTTCTAATTTCGCCCTTCTAACAGTTGCATGGGATAATTATTACATGGCTAATCATTTGAAATCAGTATCAATTCAAAATTGTTAAAAGACAGAGCTTGAAATAACAACCGATCATCGATCAATCATCGGCAAGGAATTGCTTGATCGGCGGGAAAGCAGGGTTTCGGTTTCCAACCTGAAAAAGGAGGGGAAGACATCACTGCCGATCACCATGATCAGGAACTTTGGGAACGTTATTTCAGCCCTGTAAGAATACAAATTTACTACTTTACTTACAATTACATGTATCGAAAGGGCTTACACAGTTACAGTAGATTAATAGGACTTATGACGCTTCACAGCACACCATGCATATTTTGCATTTTCAGTGTTAATCCTTAAACTCATTGTTAAAAAGTAATCACCGGGGACCCGTGGTGGTTATTGTAATTATTGGTATTGTTTTGCATCCACGTTTTGTCGTTATCGGAAAATGTATGACTTATAAGTTGTCACTATTTTGTACTTGCATTACTGTTTCAATATAGTTTGTAAATCTCAGAAGCGAAGGGTAGAACTTGCCAATGGGCAATACTCCAATAATATACGTTTCAAAAAAGACAAAAAAGCTTTTAGTTTATTTGCAGAGTTACATTCTCAAATGTTTAAGGCAGTAATAAAATCAAAGTATCATGAAATTATTTGAATAAACCACCCACATATATATAATGCAATTTTCTTTGCGGAAATCAAGATTACATGGAAAGTTGACGATTCAATGGACAATAGTCAATATTACGCTTCCCAACACATTAATCCTATAGTTTATTGTTAGCAAGTGATTACTGTGGCGGCTATTGTTAATACTGCTATTGATAAAATTTGCAAGCGATTGTTTTTATAATATGTTATCGATATTATTATAATATAAGTGACGTAAACATGCAATGATTGAATGGCTATAGTATAAGTAGCCATCTTCTCTCCTGTTTTGAGAATAGAGAACTGACCCACTTTCCCCAGCACGTCGCCGAAAACCAGCAACACAGCCAAGACAACACAACACAACACAACACAACACAACACAACACAACACTACAACGTCACAATCGCGACCTTATGTGAATGTAAACTGCCAGAAGAATACGACAACACGATTTTATGCGATCTCTGTGGGCAATGGTTCCACTTTTTAAAGATGTGTAGAATATGACACTAGTCTAAGTACCTCAAATGAGTGGTTATGCTGACTGTGCACACCACTAGGCACTATAGCTGCTAAGAAACTTAAAATGTGTATGTAATTTTGTCTCCTTGTAATAAATAAATAAATCACACAATAAATCTTTTCAACTTGCAATCGTTTTGTTTTTAGATCAAAAAT